TTAATATCAGCTTGAGAATATTTTATAGGTTTGAATTTGTGTTCCTTTAGTAGTATCACAATACTTTTCCTATCATCATCAAACTTCATTGTTGTGAAACTTTTTCACATCATGACTTTTTTATGAGGAAAATAGCAGTTACCAGAGAACTTTCTCTTCACTCTGTTACCAGTCAGACATGTACAGCATGGGTGTTATCCTGCTAGAACTCTTCCAGCCATTTGGAACAGAAATGGAAAGAACAGTTGTTCTTACACATTTAAGGACTGGCCAAATTCCTCAGACTTTCTCCAAGCAATGGCCCACTCAAGCCAAGTATGTGGAACTCCTCACCAGTCAGAGCTCCACAGACAGACCAACTGCTGCTCAGCTTCGGGACAGTGAACTCTTCCACACCACAGATCATGTAAGTGATGCCAGTAACCTCAGCCCTCACAGGGGAAAGGAAATGCCCTTTGTATCCCTGCCTGGATACAGTTGTTTGAACTTCAGTGTGTGTGATTGAGACTTTTCATGATTATTTAGGCCACTGTGTTAATGTTTCTGGTGTCCTTGCAGTGAGATAAATGGTTATTAACTGTCAGTAACTTTATGAAGACTAGACAGTTGAGATGTATTATTATAGGTCAGAGAAGCTTCAAAAGCTTTTCATTACATCTGCAGAATCGTTTTATCATTTTTCCATTTCCTTGTCCTACTACTTTGTGGACTAAGGTGTGGTATCAAGTGTGCAGAGTAGCTGTGGTGCTGCAGCATATGGCTGTAGTGGTTTGTAAATGCAATCCAAACAGATGAGGAAGGCTTTATCCTTGCCTGGCTCTAGCTGAAGTAAACTGGTTCTCATTTTCAGGTTATTTCTAACCTACAACAGAAGGTGCGACAGCAAGAGGAAGAAATAGAGAAGCTGAGGGAGAGAATAAGACTCCTTTCTGAAGAGCAAGATGAACACATGAGACTAGGCTCTCCTGTTTGAGTACAGGAAGAACTAATCTATTGTATATTGCTAAGTTAAATAAAATGTCTCTTTTTTACATAAAATATTTCAATGCATTTTCATTTTGCTGTCCTTTAAAGGTCTTCATCCTTCTGCCTTCGTTCAGGAGGCTGTGGTCAAGAGAAAGGATTCATGTTGCACAGGAGAAATTAAGAGCACAGCTTGTACTTACACAGGACTAATTTACATATCTTAAAATCATTTAACAAACACACGTTATGCATCAGGTACAAAAGAGGAAGGTCACACTCAAAAGGCAGCTGTAGTGTTTTTATTGACTTCAGAATTCCGTCCAAGTGCAGAACATAAATACAAAGCCCAGAAAGGACTCACACACTACAGCAGGCCTGAGGTGGAACAAGATTAAAATGACACCCGTATGAGGAGCACAGGCTCACTTAAGCAGCTTCATCACAGAGCTGAAAGGTGCCAGGTTCTCACAGGACTTCATCCACTTCTGCACGTTGGCGGGGGCGGTGTTGGCAGTGCCCGTGTGCTGCAGGGCACACCAGGCCACCACGTCTGCCACCGACAGCTCGCTGCCCACCAGCCACGAGCTCTTGCCCAGGGCAGCGTTCATGGAGCGCAGCACTGCTCCCCTCTCCTTGCTGCTGCCTTCCTGCAGCTGGAAGATGGCTGTGTCCACCCAGCTGTCGATCAGGGTTGAGGTAACTGCGTTGTACTTGGGGCCAAACAGGGAAAAGAGGAAGCGAGCGATGTTCCCCTCTCCTTCTATCGGGCACATTGTTTGGATGCTGAACTTCATCTGGGGCTTTGGAACTGAAATGAACACAAGGAAAAAAAAAAGTTAAATAGAATGGCAATTCCAAGAGGTATTTTACTTGTGATGCCAATAACATTGTTAACATCATGAGCCCGATGAACAATTTTCAGCCTTCTAGGATAAAGAGATCACTTCTTGAAAACTTGAGCCAAATCTCCCACTTAATTGCTATTCTAGCTACCTTATTTGTAGAAAGTGAAAAACACAAAAATATCCTGTGGGTACAAACAACCCTGTCAATGCCATGTGCATATGAACAGCTGTAACTACAAACCAGAATCTTCCTCTGTGCCATCACTGTTCACAGCCAGGAAAAGAGAGCAAAAATGTTACCTGCACTACATATCCACCTCGTGTCAGCACAAAGACACCAAGGCATCTGGTGGCAAGGTTTTACAGCACAAGTTTCATTTTCTCACCTACTGTAAAATATTGGTCTACAAATTTCATTCTTACCATCCTTCCAAATCAGAGTAAAACCCAACTGATACTCGTGACGTGGCTGCTTCTTAGTCTGATCTCCAAAGCATTTCAGGAGGTTTTCTGGCACACTTTTCACTGATGAATGTGTGTGGACAGCTGATAATATTTTGTATCGTTCACAAAGCAGACTATGTAGCACTAACAAGGACAGTGGAGGTTGGGAAGGATTTGCATTGATGACAACATCTTTCAGGGCACCATAATCCTGAATGGAAAGTAAAACATTCAGCAAAGCCACATTCCAGATCATACTTCTAAGTAGTGCTTTCATTTGACACCAAAATGTACATAGCCATGCATGTGTATATCAAATTGTAATGATATTCAAGTAAACCAATTCAAGTTTGGACATTTAAAACTTGTTTGAACCTTTAAACATCTTTCTTCCTCAACACATAATTCAAGGACATGGCTGAGGTAAATTCTAGTCCAATCTGAAGCCAAAGTTAAAACTCCCAGTTTAGTAACAAACAAGAAACCAGCTGTTGTAATGTCAAAATTAACAGTTCTAGCTTGCAATTATATCCAAATGAGCACATATAGGATTACTACTTATAAATGTTTGTATCTATAATCTAGATGCCCAAAATGAAATGGCAGTTGTAGGTTATCTGAGTGTCCCAGGTTTTAATGCCAGCCTTCCAGCCCTGAAAACTGAGTGTTGAAAAAGCACCTACCAATGTACCTGCCCAACCAAACTCACCTTTCCAAGCATCAAATCTAAATCTGCTCCATTTGTTGTCAAAGGAGAGAATTCATCAGTTTGAATGATATTTGTTACATCAAAGTCAGCATCTGGGGTTTGTATCATCTTTGAGAGCCCATCCACAGCACTCTTCAGTTCATACAACCGCTTGAGAATCTCTTCCTGGCGGGACTCGAGTGCTTGAAGTGATGGGTCAACCTCTTCCTAGAGGAGAGAGAAAAACAAGGCCACATAAATGTTCACTCAGCTCAGTGTCAAAATCATCCATGGCTCACTTGACAAGAAGTTCTGAAAGACTTCAAGCACATTCAAATAACCAGAACATCGCCAATGTCACGGGCTTGCATCTCTTTTCTTTTGTCAGTATGCCTGTGGTATGATGGGTTACTTAATCTCTGAAATCCTCCTGCTTAACATATTTTTAAAGCATTAACTACAGAAAACTCCATAACATGGTAAAAATCAGACCACAAACACAGAACTTAAAAGCTGGCAGTGAAGTGCTGAATGAAAACTGAAAAAAGCAAGTTTAAGTTAGCATGTCAGGTTCTCTTCAGCCCAGAAGAGCAGATGGGTAAGTTTGTGCTCAGGCTGCCAAACAAGGAAACTTCTGACAATTCAGGCAGTTAATAAAAGTAAAAAACTCTGAATGGTGTATGAAATCACTTTATGTAGTCATTCTTTGTTTCAGAGAATATAGAGAAAAAAAAGACCACGGGCTTTGTTACATATCAATACCAATACAGCTTATTGTTATCTCAATTACATTAGAAACCTCTTACCTTACAACCTCCTTTAAAAGACGAAAAATGTATTCCTGTGGGAGGTTTTAAGTCTACAAACTTAGATTAACGTTCAAGAAAAATCTTTATATAATCCATTTCTAAGCGTCCTGAATAAGGATTATGAAACCCAACCTATAATGCAAACTACTACTTTCAGCCTAACAGACAGATAGCAAATATGGTATCCAAGTAGAATCTTTATACCCACTTAACACAACAGTCTCAAAGACAAGATAAGGAAAGACCTCTTAAGTGACCATTATTTAACTAGTACACAATTTCCTGAAGTAAAAACCACTGAAAAGAGACAGGTAGGTAATAGTTTGCTGTTGGAATGGGAAGGCATCTTAGTAATCGTTCCTGTGAAGTTCTGCCCAAGTCTGCTCGTGCTCAGTATCTCCACCCGGGGGAGGGCACAGCAAGTCCTCGCTGAAAACATGTGATGCCATCGAGCTAAAACCGGGCACGAGCGGCCGGGGAGAATTCAGAGCATTCCTGGCACTGGAAAGAGGCTTTGATCAGCTAGACCGATGTATGGCAGGATTTCGCATGTTTTCCTTATTTAAGAAAGAAGCAGCTGAAACTCGAAATGGAGGGTGTGGAGTTGGGTGAAGAAACGGGGCAGAGCCAGCGGAGCGATGATGCAGCAGAGGAAGGAGGCCGGACCGCCGGGCGGGCAGGGAGCAGGGCACGGCCATCGGGCACAGAAACCCAGACGGGGACGCGAGAGCCCAGAAAAGCCAAGCTGACAGCCATCGAAAGCTTTAAAAACATTACAGAGAAGCTCCTGAAATCGCCGAGCTTATTTAACCCCGGGACGAGTCGCTGGCGGCGGGGAGCCGGCGCCGCAGGGCCGAGCAGCGCGGGCCGCGGCCCGAGCACGTCCTTCCACGCGTCCCCCCGGCGCTCCCCCGCTCGTTACCTGCGGGGCGGCGGTGCCGGGGGCGCGGTGCAGGTTGGGCAGGCGGTACATGCAGGTGGGCAGGTGCCCCGGCGGCAGCTCCGCGCTGTGCAGCGGCCGCACCTTGTACATCGTGCGCATGGCGGCCCCCGCCCGCCCCGCGCCCGCGCGCCCGCCGCCGGCCCGCCCACCCCCGCGCCCATTGGGCCGTAAGGGACGGTACCGCCTTACTGACACGCGCGGAGACCAATAGAACGCCGGTTCTCCCCCACGCCTTTTCGCCATTGGCCAGCGTGGCGCGGCTGAGCGGGTCCCCACAGGGCGGCGGGCGGGGCTGAGCCCGCGGGATCGCGGAGTGGGGCCCTGTGGGGCGGGTGGGCTGTGACCCGGCGGGGACGGAGCCTGAGGGGAGCGGGGCGCGTCCCGTCCCGTCGGGATCCCGATGGAGGCGGCTGAGCTCTGGTGAGTGCCTATCCCGGGCCCTGCCTCGGAACCCCCCGCCCGGGCCGCTTCTGTCCCCTCACGGCAGCCGCGCTCCCCGCACGGTTCCGGCACCCCCCGGTTCCCGCCTCCCCTCGCTCGCGGAAACCTGAGGGGGTTTGGGTGCGGCCCCCCCGGGTAGCGGTGTTTGCCCTCCCTGCTCCCCTCGCCCGAGGCACCAGCACTTCACCGCCGTGTGTTCCCGTCCCTCTCCCAGCCCGCCGCCCGCCGGAGCCATCCGGCCCATCGACCGCAAGTCTGTCCATCGGATCTGCTCGGGACAGGTGGTGCTGAACCTCGGCATTGCCGTCAAAGAGCTGGTGGAGAATAGCTTGGATGCCGGAGCGACCAACATCGGTAACTCTTCATCGAATTTCAAAATTTTTCATAGGCTTCTAAAGTACGTCTTTTTCCTCAAAGCAGAGCGTGTGTTAGCAAATCTGGGCAAATACTGTGCGGGCCAAGCGTGTTTGCAGTGATTTCACAGGTCAGATTAATAAAACATTTTGATTCCCAAGATTCAGCTGCATTCCTAGAATCACGTGAGTTTGTGTTATTTAACTTGTAGCCCCTTGGCCACTCGGTAAGGTGTGTGGCCTGTGCAGCAGCGGTGACCAGGCTCTGCCAGCCTTGGGCTCACACAGGGTTAAGGCAGGGCTGCAGTTTCCAGAGCTCTCAGGATGGTGGCTGGGATAATTGGGAAAACTTCTGTTCTGGCAGAAGTTCAGTGAAGCTGAATACCTGCAAATACAGGCTGGTTTGCACTACATTGCCCTAGCTTTTGTCAGCTGTCAGGATTATTTTTTTTATTATTATTATTGTTCAAGTTTGACATGAAAAACTGTTATTTGATAAATTTCCTTCAGGTACAGAATTTATACTGAATATCATCATCATACCAAATTAAAATACTCTGTGACTCAATTTTGTAGATATAAAACTTAAAGATCATGGAGCAGAACTGATAGAGGTCTCGGATAATGGAGATGGAGTGGAAGAGGAAAACTTTGAAGGCTTGAGTAAGTTAAAATTTTTTTATAATTTATATTTGGACATTTTGAAAGCAAATTTTAGTAAGAAAGCATCTTTATCAAAACAAATTTCCAAAATTTAATCTTATTTAATGGATACTTGGCTTTTACATAATGTGTGTGTGACCTGCAAGGCTTGAGCAAAACTAGACTGGACTTCTATAGTCCTCTTGTGGTTATAGTTCTTGTAGCTCAGAAATAGTGTCTGGTTTGATTGCTTTTTTAAATGGCACAAATAACAGAAATAATCACAGAGGAGAAAATCTTATAAATGTTCATTTAGATTCATTCATGTTGAATCATCAGTCATTGTTGAAGGAGTTGAGCTTGATGGAAGTGACTGCCTTGGAGCGGTGAATTATGAACTGGAGTTTTTGTTGGAGGTGAACTGACATTGTGTTGATTGTCAGATTTTGCATTTGCTGGTTTTAAATTGCACAGAGTGGAAGCAGAAGCAATACTGTGTGATGAATCTAACTAGCCACCGCAACAGAAATCATATTTCTTTCTTCATGTAACAACTGGGCTGTGAGGATGGCATAACAGGTATATCTGAGGATTTTAAAGAGATCTTGTTTGTAGCAAAAAGGGAAAGGAAGCAGTATTTTGTCTTTAATCATTATGTAAAACACAATGAATAATACAGAAGATTTTTTGCTTCTTGACATGGATGCAAAAGTTACTTGCATAGACCAGTGTCACTTTGAAATGAGATATCTATTTGAAATATCCTTTTCCAGCTCTGAAACATCATACATCAAAGATACAAGATTTTTCTGATCTGATACATGTTGAAACATTTGGGTTTCGAGGTGAAGCTTTGAGTTCGCTGTGTGCATTAAGGTAATTATTATTATTTACTGTTAGTAGAAAGTTACTATATACACAAAACCAACAAAACTCACCTTTTAAGTTTACCGATATTGATAAAACGAGGCTTTGGAAACTTCCAGTTCTTTAGTGTTAGGTCAATTTTGAGCAGTAAGTTGCATGACATCCTGAGTCCTTTCCAACCAAAATTATTCTGTGATTCTCAGCATCTGAAATTACTTTATGATTCTAAGCACCTAACTGGTCATTTTACATACAAAATGTAAGTATGTAGGTCTTTACAGGATGGATCTGTGTACTTACATGAGTGTTTGATCCTCTGATGTAAAGCTCTGTCATATCTAAGTGCTGTTTGCTCTCTGTGACTCATTAAACCTGTACTTAAATTCTTCTCAGACCAACTATACCTTTTAAATCAGTTTTTGTCCACAGCGCTGTGCATCAAGAATGTCCTGCAGGTATCTATCAAAAACAGACTTTAACTTTGCATTTTTATAAGAGAGGATACATTTTATATGAAAGGGATACAAATAAAAATGTTTGTGTGGTAGCAAGGAAAACATTCCACTACTCTGAAGAGCAGGTTTTTAGTTGCATGTGTTAGTTTTCATTGAATGAATAGTATTGCTGTAGTTTTTGTGCCTGATTGTCATGAGGAATAGATAACACAGGCTCAGTGAATGATTCTCTTGCCTCTTTCCTTCCATTAGTGATGTTACCATTTTCACCCGTCATAAGTCAGCAAAGGTTGGGACTCGTTTGGTGTTTGATCACAATGGTAAAATTACTCAGAGAACTCCTTTCCCCCGCCAGCAAGGCACAACTGTGAGTGTGCAGCAGCTGTTTTCCACCTTACCTGTGCGGCATAAAGAGTTCCAGAGAAACATTAAAAAGGTATGCTCAGAAATTCTGAACCCAAAGGAGTGTCACACCCCAGAATTTATTTCCTGCTGAATGAAATTCAGTTCTCTGCAGAATACATTGATTATGTCTGAGTATTTCATGCCTGTCTTAAATCTGAATCAAATAAGAAAAGAGTCTCCTTGTCTGCTTTTTCTCCTGTTTGGCAGTAACTGGGCTTAGAGGTGCATTCAAAATTTTCAGATTTTGGAAATGATCCGTATCATCATCACTTCTGTGTATTTCAAAATCAGAGACTGCTGTGTCGTGGCTAAATATCAGTCTTGTAAACATGCTGTTTGGTTTTTAAAGCATAATTTTTCACATATAGATATATATATTTTTAAATTTACTTTGTAAAGGTTTTAAAAATTATCAAACTCCCCCCCCCTTTTTGTGCTACTTGCAAATACTGAATGCTTTGTTTATGCATCTGTGCTTTAAGAAGAGACGTTTCATATAAATATGACTTTTCTGGTTTTCTCTGATAGGAATATGCAAAAATGGTCCAGCTGTTGCAGGCGTACTGCATTGTTTCCAAAGGAGTGCGGATTAACTGCACTAATCAAGTGGGCCAAGGGAGGAAAAGCTGTGTGATATCCACTGCTGGAAGTCCTAGTTTAAAGGAAAACATTGGAGCAGTATTTGGACAAAAACAGGTATCAGTTTTGTTATTGAAAAGAGAGACAATGTAGCTGTATAGAGAGATTTGTATTATCTAATAAGCCGAGGGTTGTGGGAACCCTTTAAAACCGGGAGAGGTTGGAGCAAGTGTTGATTTGTAGCGAACCCTACAGGCTGAAAAAGGAGAAACATCGCAGCCTCCACAGATTCTCCTGGATTCCAGAGTCTGCTCAGAGATGTTTTGATGGAAGAGAATGATTTAGGAGATGGGATTACTGCTTAATATCTCTCTGAAGCCAATTTTAAGAGCTGTTGTCCCAGCAAATGGTCTGTAGGTCACAAGAACAAGCAATTTAAAAAATCCTAAAAATGGTGTAGACTTTGATGCCTTCTAGGTAATAGCTATAAAAATAATTGTTATCCTCTAGATGAAAGCAAAGATGAAAAAGAGCTTAAAAACATCCTTCCCACAACTGTGTATTACAACCATCAGAAATATTGAGTGGTTGACAGCTGCTGGTTGTTGATAAGCACTTTTTCCCTCCACAAGTGCCCATGCAGAGTTTTCAAAGCCTGTTCATGCTGGGGCTGAAAGACAAGATGGAAGATGTAACTTTGTCTTGCCACATGGCAACAAGCACAGCTGAAAATTGAGTGTTATCTGAATGGAATGTTTAGCTTATAGCCTGCTTTTATAGTGCCAAATACTTAATTTAAAATCAGTAGAAGGTGCTCTAATGACAGAAAAATCATAGTGGCATGACTGGGAAAATGTTTGTGGTAAACAATGCTATTCTTAGGGAGCTTGTGATTCAAATAATACATATTTTCTAATAGTTTAATTGTTCTTTCAAAATAACCTTCTGTTACTGTTTTTGCTTTGTCTTTTTTCATAAAACATGATTAGGTCATATGTGTGGAGCTGGAGAGTCCAAACTGTCAATCATTTTGTTGTTCTGTCTATGTACATTTTAAAGCCAGGGTCTGTGAAGGAACTGAGGCCAAGGTTGTGATATCAGAGGATGAGAACAGCTGTTCATTCAGGCATTGTTCTGTTTCTCAGTGAGCAGTGCAACTGTCCTCTAGTAGGTTTGGGTATTTTAAGTGTTTGATTTGGTCAGCAAAACCCCACCATTTTATCAAATAAATTTTAAGGCTAATAAGTAACAATAAAATAGAAGGGAAAATCTGTGCAGATTAGATGTTTCAGCTCTTTTTTTTTTTTTTAAGTTGCAGAGCCTTATTCCTTTTGTTCAGCTCCCTCCTAGTGAAGCTGTTTGTGAAGAATATGGACTCAACACTGCTGACATGCCACCAAATCTGTACAGGTAATTAGGAAAGTACAACCCACTGTGGCTGGTGACATTTTACCATAAACTAATATTTAAAAAAAAAAAAAAGAAAGTGTGGTGGTCAATAGTATTAAAGTAACTAGGAAGAGCATAGTAAATACTGGTGTACAGTTTGGAAAGACCATCACTTGATTTAAAAAGGTAGTTCATGACCAAGTTGTTGGGAAGAACAAAACTGCTATTCCTTATGTCCTAATTAGTTCTATATTATTTCAGTCTCCTGAATGCCAGCTATGTCAGTGCTCTGAGTAATTGGATGTGGATGAATTGTATCTGTGTTTATGCTTGTGTTTCTTCAGTGGCATTACTGAGAAATGGTATGAGATGAATGTGGATCCGTTTGTGGAAGCAAATTACCCTTTACTTTCTTGAAGTGTACTTTCTTTATCTCTCACTATACCTGAGATTGGGCAGATACTGATGCATCTGTTTGCCAATGACAGTTCACAGCTGACCTCTCGTCTGCTCTAAGAGCAGAAAAATTACAAATGCTACTTTTTATGAAACCAGAGCAAGCTACTTTTCAATTGTCTGATGCCTTTTTGGAGCTGAACAATTAGCCTTTGTCAGATAAGGAATTGGGAGAGGAAATACTTATAGACATATTTACTGATGCTGTGTAATAGTTTTTCTCTAAGACCCTTCTAAAATACTTTTCTTTTGCTTTTCTCCTCCATTTTACCTGACCCTTCTATGATTGTTATCCAACAGACTCACAGGCTTCATTTCTCGCTGTGATCACGGGGTTGGAAGGAGTACAACAGACAGACAGTTTTTCTTTATCAACCAACGCCCCTGTGACCCAGCAAAGGTGAGGGTTTCATTTTTCCAGCATTACCATCACTAACTGGTTCAATTTGCTCTGAAAACCTCAGGATTTCAGTATGCTATATGAGTAGCTCATATATGTGTTTGTGGCTTGATGGTGCAAGTTCTTATGTCTCAGGTTTTTGTTGTCATTGTGTCCGTTTGTCCAAACCAAAGCTCAATCACACAATATAAGATTTAGAGCATTAATTGGTTTGAAGAGACTTAAATAACATATACTGGTGGGAAATAGATGATAGTATTGAAGTTTTTGTTTTTTCATCTTTTCTGCAGGTTGTCAAGATTGTGAATGAAGTTTATCACTTACACAATAAACACCAGTACCCATTTGTTGTCCTTAACATTGGGGTAGATTCTGGTAAGTTATGAATAGTTTTCCTTAATTTCAGTAAATTTATTATTCAATGAAATTTTTATTTAGAGAATATTGTAGCTTTCATCTGCATGACTTCCTGCACTTTGGGGATTTTTTATCCACAGTTGGTGAGGGAGTGATAGGGTCTAGCAGTGGTTCCACTATTTTCCCCCTCCTCTTTTTCTATACTCAAAAGTAGCTTCTTATCTTAAAAAATGAAAAAAAGGCAATCTTAAAGTTAGCCTAAGTACAAGAAAACTTGTATCCTGTTTTTGTTTGCTGGAATGTTGAGACAGTTGCAGACAAAACAGCAAACAAACCAGAAGATAATTCTTTCCAGTAATATTTCATTTTATTTGTTAAGTGGTTATTTTTCCTTTTTTTTCTTTTCCAGAGTGTGTTGACATTAATGTAACTCCCGACAAAAGGCAGATTTTACTTCAGGAGGAGAAGTTTTTATTAGCAATTCTAAAAACTTCTCTGATGCAAATGTTTGGCAGTGATGTTAACAAACTGAATGTCAATCAGAAGCTTCTGGACATTGCAGGTAGGACAGTGTGGAAGTTTTGTGTGTTATATATGGTAGAGAATTGAAGATGGAAATATGTGGTTTTAAAAACTCAAAGAATACATGAAAAAAGTTAATAAATAAATAAAAATAAAGGAGAACCCTAAGTTATTAAGTGATTGTTAGGGAAATGACACATGAAAGCACAGCATGATTTACAGTCAACTTTGTGAGAAAAAAATTAACACAAAATTAATTGATAATGCTTGAAAGATTTCTCCCAAGATATTGGAAGAGATCTGTGTTTCCTTTACTTAAATGTCCTTGAGAAAGAATAGTTAAGGGCTCATAAATAAAATCTGAAAATTGAGTATGAGTTTATTGGATTTTAACTCAGATTCTTTTATGATATCTAAGAAAGTGATGATTCTCTTGTGACTGTACAGTCTTTCAAAATTGCTTTTCTGTGTTAACACCACCTCATCCTCCTCCTTTCATTCAACAGAACCCCTTCTAATTTTCTTTTTTACTGATGTATAGAATCAGTTTTAGCCTGATTCTTACTGTTATTTTAAATTAATCTTTAGTAAAATACATGTTGGAGTGACAGTTTGCGAGGTTGAAGTCCTGTAATAACCTGCAGATCCCATATTACAAGTGCCTATTGTGTCAGCTCCCTAACACTTTGCCAATGGAATTTTATAATGACCATTAAAGTGTAAGAGCAATTCACTTTTCATTGTCACTCAGTCATTGAACTCCTTTGATAATATAAATAAATGTGCTGATGGGACTGATTGCTGTTCCAGTTTAAAAGGAGACTATAAATTCATTCTCACTAGTGCCATTAAGTGTCTCCAAGATGTAGCTGCTTTTCTGTTTGATATTAATGCATTTCAGCCCCATACTCATTGTCTGAAGCTTAAGGGCTCCTTTGAGCAGTTTGCTATTTTTCTACCTCTTTTCATTCCCTTTACTAAAGCACATCATTTAATTCACGTTTCCAGCTAACTTAAAATCTTGAAATATTCTTTATTCTGATTTTTATCAGGCAATTTGAAGAAGACACTTCCTGAAGAGACAGAAAAGCCTCAGGTAGAAATGCTGTCTCACTCTGAGACTGAAAGTCCAAGCAGTGAAGGCAAAAGAACAATGACTCTTGCTGGATTAAGGGAGTCCTTCTCTCTCCATCAAACACCAGAGTGTAATTTTCGAAGCCCTAAAAAGGTAAAACAGCTGCACAGTTCCCCCAGACAAAAGTTACTTGATACCACTGTGAGTACTGGAAAGACTCAAAAAGCTGTGTTCACTAAGGAGCCTGGGGGTTGTCATAAGGTGGACTCAAAGGTGTCAATTCTGAGCAAATACTTGAGAAAATTAGAAGATAACTCAGATTCTGGATTCTGTAGCATTTCTGAGTCAGATGCTGGATGTAGTACACCAGAGGCTGGGAGCTGCATCAATAGTGAAAGTGCAATTAATTCTGAAGAAGAATTCTGTAGCACAGAAGAACAACTTCAAAGTGAATGTCTTAAAACTGCTGGATGCAGTAAGAAATCACTGGACTGTGATGGTCAGGTCTTGGGCACTGAACCTAAGTCAGATCAAGAGAACGACAGGACTGACCAAAGTAAGTTCTCTCAAGAAGCCAATAGTTCTTCTCCAAGAGTAAAACGTTTTAAAAGCAGAAACTTTAAAAGCAAAGCAGAGGATTTGGAGGCAGGTAAATACCCTGAAGTGAAGAACACTTCTGCTGATGTACTGGTGAAAGTTAAAAAGAAAATTGTGCCTCTTGAATTCTCCATGAAGGTTTTGGCAGAAAAGGTCAGAAAGGTAATACAGCAACAACAGAAAAGGACAGAAACAGAAAATTACAGAAGATTTAAAGCAAAAATTAGTCCTGGGGACAATAAAGTAGCAGAAGATGAATTAAGAAAAGAAATCAGGTATTTTCACTTTCTTAACACATTTTGTTCATCAGTTAATAAAATGAGCTAAGGAAAAATGTAAATTCTGTCTTTGGGAGCAGGCAGGGGGCTTGCAGGTACCTGTTAGCTTTGGGTCTGTGTTTTATTAAATGTCATTAAAATGTCTATTTGATGAGTTATTTTACTGACAGAGCAGCTATTTGAACTAAGTGCAAACAGAATGTGGAAAAGGCACTAAAAAGGCCACAAACATTATAGATTTGGCTTGGGTCAGCCTTGTAAACTGCAGTGCAGTCAGAGAAATACCAAATTTCATGACAGATAAGAACAATCTGAAAAGACTGTACAGCTATAGTCCTCCTCGTGTGAATGTGAAATGTGGTGAGATATGGCTGGAAAAATAAGTTACATTCAGGTGGTCACTGGACAGTAAAAGTCTGTGATTTGTTAATATTTGGATTTAAAGAATGTCATAGGAAAGTCTTGTAATTGTGAAAAGGAGGCAGGTTAAGGCAACTGCCTTCAAAACCATGATGCCATCCTCAGTATTGTTCACTTTGCTGTAGTGCCTGTTTCTAATTTGATTATCGCAAATGGGAGAATCCTGAACGAGTCCTGTCTTAATGATGGATTGTGTTCTGCCAGATATGGCCTCATCAGTCAGTGGCAGATCCCAGATAACTCTACTTTTCCACATTTATATCCCAATTAAATGTGATTTTTTTTTTAATGTGAAGTGTGTTCTGCACAAGCTTTACAGTTTAACATGAAAACTGAAGAGGTGTAATTTATAATCTCTATGTTTTTTGTATACAGTAAAGAAATGTTTGCAAAAATGGAAATCATTGGCCAGTTCAATTTAGGGTTTATAATAACAAAGTTGAATTCTGATCTTTTCATAATTGACCAACACGCTACTGATGAGAAATACAACTTTGAGATGTTGCAACAACACACTGTCCTCCAAGGTCAGAAGCTGATAGTGTAAGTATTTCCAGTGTTATAACAATAACATTTTCTAAGCTTAATTCAGTGTTTCAGAAGGATAACTGATTATGCAGCATTTCACACATTCAGAACACTTGAGACTAAAGTTGGTTTTGTATTCAGTGTTTCAAAGAGTCAATCCTCACATGAAAAATAAATTCCCTGGATGCAGCTGTAGCTGTGCAGCAAGGAAGGGTCAGAGATCTCACTGTGGCCTTACATGGCAACCCCCAGTTTGTTAAGCATCCAGTGAGGATACAGGAGACTGTTCCTGCACAAGGAATGCTGGCAACGGACTTAATTCTGTTGAGTAACACTTGGAAGTAACTGTTCGGTAGTGAGATTTTTTTTTTTAACAAAGCAGAGGGAAATGTTTCAATAGAGAGCTCTGTATTAGTATCTCTAGATTGCTTCTGAAGCCTGTCTTAAGTGCTCTGCACTGTGTACCTATGCAATACCATCTTTTTCTCTCTCTTTCAGGCCTCAGAATCTCAATTTAACAGCGGTAAATGAAACTGTATTGATTGAAAACCTGGAAATATTCAAAAAAAATGGGTTTGATTTTGTCATAGATGAAAATGGTGAGTTTGGACCAGTTTCAAAGTAGTTTTTTCTCTCAAGAAAAAGTAATTTCCTGTATTGCTCTGTATCTTTATTATCATTGCAAATCTTTCAGCTCCTGTAACTCAAAGAGTTAAATTGGTATCGTTGCCAACAAGCAAAAACTGGATTTTTGGTCCCCAAGACATCGATGAGCTGATCTTCATGTTGAGTGACTGCCCTGGAGTCATGTGCAGGCCCTCCAGGGTCAGACAGATGTTTGCTTCTCGAGCTTGCAGAAAGTCTGTAAGTACTGCAATTGATGCTTGGTTTCAAATAAATGCCAGATTTTCTGATGTATTGTAGGTGGCTCTCTCTGTATATGCATTGCAGGGGAAGTTTATTTACTGTTGAGTGTCAGCAGCTGATATCCTTTGTTCTGTTCCTCATGTTTTTATCTAGTGGAACTTGGGAAACATCTCTGGTAGTTTTTTATTGTGTTCCAAACTAGTGCACTTATGAACACTGTGTTAGGTGTATTTTGTCTTCTGATCCTCCGGTAGGTTTTTTTGCTTTAAATGCCTTGCACGGAACTTGCTGCAGTAGCTGAAGTACTGCTCTGGTGTGTGTCAGCTGTCAGTGTGGAGGAAGGAAATAATAATTTATTTTTTCTCCTTTCCTTGCAGGTGATGATTGGAACTGCACTGAATGTGCAGGAAATGAGAAAACTGATCACCCATATGGGTGAGATTGAGCATCCCTGGAACTGCCCCCATGGAAGGCCTACTATGAGACACATAGTCAGTTTAGACATGATTTCACCAGAATAAGTCAGTTCCTGCTTATTAACATTGTTCATTTTAATTCTTGGTGGTATTTTGAGCTTTTACCATGACTCTTTTATTTTAAGTAAAAGGATTTTAGCCAGTTTTCAAAGTTGGAAACAATAGCACTTGAAGGCATTCAGCAGGGTTTCTTTGTTATTCCTCTCAAGTCAGCAATACTGGAACTCATGTGTAAATAACTTTTACTGAAGTTTACTTATGTGTATTACTTATTTGTGCAGCAATCAAAACTTTCATAAAATAAATATAGATGTTTATATATAAAGATCATGAGTAGGTGAACCTCATTTACAGCAAATACACTGATTCTTAAAATGAAGTGGAATGTGAATTTAAGTCTCTAGTAATGCCATAGAACAAATACTAACTCCTCTGTGTTTATACATCCTGCATATGATAATTTTAAAGCAAATGGAAGTGATACAGAAGATAAAGTACTTTTTTTTACTTATACTAAAGCTGGGTTTCATTAGATAATTACCTCAAGCATAAATATTGCACTTAATGATTAACTTACTGGTGTCTGTGTTTCAGGCTTGAATAGAATAATTCATCTGGCATATTTACTTTTAATTAGACTTGTTCTCTTCCATATTCCAAACTTGTTTGTCAAGAAGAGGGATCCCTTTCCTGACAGTGAATGCAAAATTGCCAATAAGGTCAGTCCAAATTCTGGAAATTTCGAGCAGAATCAAAATAGTTACTTTGAATCCGAAACCATTAAAACAGACGGCTAAGCTCTTCCACGTCTGTAGGACCAAGATTTGACCTAAGAAATCCACGTGTTTATGGGTTATGTTCCCTTCGCCCCTCCCTTTGCCGTGGCCGTGATGCTGCTGATGTTCCTCCCGTGCTCGGAGCCGCCCGTGGCAGCTCATACGCACTGTGTGTACCTGTGCAGGCCGCGCGGATGGGCCGAGTGCCGTCAGTAAGTCGTGGATGTTCGTGCGGAGCCGCAGTTCCCCGCTCTGCCCGCGCGTGTTAAACCCGCCGTTGTTATGGCCACGGCAGCGCCGCCGCACTGCGCCTGCGCGGGGCCGTGAGGGCCGGCGGGGCCGTGAGGGGACGGGGCACTGCGGGGCGGCGGGGGCCGAGAGGGGACAGGGCTGCGGCACCGGCTGCACCCGCGGCCCTCGGGAAGAGCTCGGGACCGGGCCATCCCTCGGGAAGGGCTCGGCACCGGGACATCCCTCGGGAAAAGCTCGTCACCGGGCCGCCCCTCGGAAGGGCTCAGCCCCGGCCGCCCCCGCGGACTCCCGCGCTCCCACTCGTGCCCCCCGCGCAGGACCCTGCGCTGCCTCAGGGGTGAGGACGCGGCGATGGCCGAGGCTGCCCCTGCCGGCCCTCGCCACACAGGGATTGGGTTCTTGCGCTGCTTTCGCTCAGTGAAATGAGTGCGAGTTATTATTGCAGCTGCTCAAGCAGTGCTGTAACCTTCAATTAGCTCTTAACCGGCGAAATAACTACAGCATGCAGTGGTTGCGCTGTATGGTGGTTCAATCTGCAACTCGTAACCTGGGAGGCAAGTTAAATCAATAGTATCGGTGCAGCTGTGACTTTCAAACTTGCCAAACTCATATCTTTCAACTTTTCTGCATAATTAAATCTACACACCTAAAAATGGAGTAAAGATGGAGATCTCCATGTAGCAAAACTAAGTCTACTGACACCACTTCCATCAGGATGGTTTTGATGGATGACTTGGAGGTAATTCCCAGGCAGTGCTCCCTGTTAACCCTGTGCCTCCCTGCCACAAGGTGACACCACTGCCTTGAGGAACTGCTGTGACAGAAATAAATTAAATGTATGCACGTATAATAATTACAGAAAGATTGATAATTTTTTGTGTAGTTAACTGTGTTTTGTGGGGGTTTTTTATCAGCTTGTTTTTAGGGTAAAAAAATTTACATCAGACAGAAGTGAATTTTCATTTTTCAGAAGGAAAATACACATTGAGACAATTCAGCAGCTATGCCAAAGGGCAAGAAGAAAGATGTCAAGAAAACAGATGTCAAGAAGAAAGACAGTAAGACAGCAGACAGTGAGAAGGCAGAAGAATCTGTACATACTCCTGATCCTGCACAAGATACTACAGCTGAGAGTGGTTTAACAGGGCTGCCAGATTTGCAGCGTGATTCAGTGAATGCTGTGGGAGAAACTCAGGCAACTCCAGAGATCCCAGAGGAGGAAGAGGAACCTCCAGTCCAACCTGTTCCTCAGTACCGTGAGGAGCCTATTCTTGCTCAAATTATTGTAAAAAGGTATGTATGCTTGTTACAAATACAGCAGTGTAAGTCAAGAATTCTCATTTAAGTATCTCTGCTGTACCCAGGGTCATACAAACACAGGTTTGACTCTTGATTTGAGGCAGAGAATTGGGTTATTCACACCTAGTAGCAGTGACACCTTATGAGACATACATGTAGAATTCTGCTGCCTTCAGAAGGATGCTCTTTTAGCTTGTCCATTTTTGGCAAAGTTTTGTTTAAATATGCAGACAATTGGTGAAGAAACTATAGTTATATCATGTCATGTTTAGATGTTGCTGCCTTTTACTGTTTAGGGCTGCTCATATCCCTTAGGAATATCTCAAACTGGAGAAGCAGGTGAATGGCAATGTTGACAAAATCCTTTAGTATTTCAAGAGGACTGTATGTAACGTTTCACATACCAACATTCCTGGTTGTAAGCTAGTAAAGGCTACTAATGTGATATTTTTTCTTAATTGAAAGAAATATGGATCTGAGGCAACACAACAGTTATGTGAAATATTGCAAGGAAGGTTCAAAAAAGTGGAAATTTTCTGGTTCTTTTTTCTACACAAACACAACAGCTGACCTTTGTGTGGACCGTGGTAAATCAAAGGTCATTTATTTTTATTCATTATAGTGATGTAGATCTACTGGCAGTGACTTGAAATCTTCATCTTTAGTTTGCTTTCTTTGTAGCTATGAAGGTGAACAAGTCAATGGATTGTATGAGGGTGAAGGATTTGCATGTTTTGAGGGAGGGAGTACTTATAAGGTGAGTATATAATTTAAAAAAAAATAAAATAGTAGTGGACCAAGTTCTATCTGTAGAATAGGCAGGCTGTTTCTTTTAAGGTGGGTGGAGGTTGAGCTTTCAGAAGCATTGAAAGTTAGCATTAAACTTTTTGGGTTTTGGCATTAAACTTGTTGGTTTCTGGCATTAAAACTCTTGATTTGAAACTAGCTGGGGGGAATTGATATGTCATTCTTTTGAAGACTTACAGTCACTGTGGGCTTCAGCTGGGGTAAGATTATATTTGCAAATGATGCCATTCTCTTCATTTTGAAGGGCATGTTTTCTGAAGGGTTTATGCATGGACAAGGGACTTACACGTGGGCTGATGGAGTGAAGTACGAGGTAAAGTGCAATTTAAGTTATAACTGAACACAGTTACAGCCAATGAGATGTGCAAACTGAAGGGAAGTACCTCAGTTGCAGGAATTGGTACGGTGCAGGTGGCAACTGCAGAACTGTGGCAGTGACTTCAATCACAAGCCTGACTTCTCCCAGACAGTTGGGGGACACTCTTAGTTTTTTTTAATGTTGTAATTGAATCTTTCAGGGAACATTTGCTAATAATGTGCAGATGTTTAATGGCCGTTATACATGGAGTGATGGTGTCTATGAAGGATCAATCAAAGATGGAATTAGGCATGGATTTGGATTTTTCAGGAGCAGAACTCGGCCTATTTCTTACCTTGGCGAGTGGTGTAACGGCAAAAGACATGGAAACGTGAGTAAGAACCAAAGGAGAGCAGGGGCTTGGATGGTACCTTCAAGAACAGCAAGTGTTACTGAGCAAAGGTTTTACAAAAGTGTTTTGTTCTGTTGCATGGTTTTATGCTGGGTAGAGATTTGTTTTCCCTAAGGATTTTTTTCTGAAGTTGTGAACATAGTTAACTCTGTAGAGCTGCTGTTGGAAGGGAGTGGGTCAGAAAAGTGATCTGCCTCAGAGTGAGTACTGTAATTAAGTTGCCAGAGTTAGTTCTCTTCAAGTATTTCCAAGTGGTTTGAAAAACGTGGTAGACTTTGATGTGATGTAATACAATTTTTCTTTTGGTTACTTGGTGTTTTTTAAGGTCTTAACTAATATTCATCAAAGGAGGTTGCTTTTTTTATTTAATTCTGTCACTTCAGTTGCTTTCAGTACATCATCTCAAAGTGACTAAGTATTAGAGCGTGATTGCATGTGTCATGTAATTTGTATGTGATGTTTTATTCATGTAGATGAATATTTAGGTTTTTCAATGGCCTATGCTGTTTGTTTCAGGGTATCATTTATTTTGATGAGGAACATGCATCTTGGTATTCAGGTGAATGGGTCAATAATGTCAGAGAAGGATGGGGAATGAGACGGTAAATGTGATGAAAACATACTTCATGTTTTTATATTTCATGTGTATTATCATACAGTTTCTCCCTTTGTTTCAAATGGATACAAATGCTGTCATTTCATACTACTGCAGTGGAATAAAAGTGCTTTATAATAATAAAACAGACCTTCTTTATAACTTATATTTTTATGTGCTGTATTTCTATTGATCATTCGCATAAAAGAACATCTAAAGACAAAATCCCAGCTCAGCTTTGGTAAACCACAATTCAGTATTTATAATGCTGGATTGATTTGAACAGATGGAGCTGCTTTATGAATAAATGACTTATGTGTAGAATTACATATAAACAAAGATTTTTACTAGCTATGGCAAAGACTCTTTGTAAAAAAAAAAAAGAGCTGGTTAATGTTTAGTGGTTTGTAAGTTAAAAATAGTAGACAAACGGTGGCTACAATCAAACCTCTGTATCTGTGCCACAGTGAGGCAACTTCCAAATTAACAGTTATATTTAGCAATAATAAATTCTAAATTTATTAGCAATGAGATTTTGCATAAGCCTTTCACAAGATCAGCTGAGAATTTAGGATGAATAGTCATTAGCTGTTATTGTTTTCTTGCAGCTACAAGTCTGGAAACACCTATGAAGGTCAGTGGAAGAAAAATGTACGACACGGACATGGAAGAATGATATGGTTGGCAGCTAAACAAGAGTATGTAGGACAGTGGGTGAATGGCATCCAGGTATTAATTGCTTCCCCAGAAACCTCTCTTTAGTTCAGCATCTGTCCACTGCTCTAGGAAAGCTGGATAGGGAGCTTTGTGCAATATCAAAGGAGCTTTTTATGGTTTTTGCCAGTTGAGATAGTGGAAACATGCTCTTTATTGTAAGT